TAAACAGTCGTTGCAATTTGAGACGCCTGGCAGAGAGGGATTCCAAATCAATCAGCTTGCATCGGTCGGGATAACTTGGAAGATTGACTGGATCATTCCAGGGGAGCTGACGCAATGCAAACCTTATAAAACTTTTCTGAATCCTTTCAACCGCAAGGATATGCGTAACGTAAAATGGAGACCAAACCGGGGAAGCCTATTCTAAAATGCTGCGAACCAGCGAGCAGAATAGCGTCTTGAGACAATAAACATCGGTGAAACCAGAAGCATGACGACGAATAAAACCAAGCACAGTAGGGGAAAAGTTGGCTTCGGCAATACCTTAACCTATTATCGTCAGGGGGGTAAACAAAGTCCTAGAGCACTCAAATTTGGCAAATAGTTGCTCTGAAACACAATGTATCCACATGCCAAAATTGAGCTCTCAAGGACGTTGTTTACCCCCCTGACGATAATAGGTTAAGGTATTGCCGAAGCCAACTTTTCCCCTATATGCTTTAGCAGTTACGATGTTTATGTGTTCGTTAAACCTTAGCTTCGAATCGATCGTAATACCTAGATCGCAGATTGAAATTGCACGTTCTAGAGAATCCGGCCCCATGTAATATTGATGGTGAATAACGTTGTTGCAGCGAGTGAAGGATATTACACTGGAGTCGCTTTTTACGCGGGTGATACGTCCCGCGTAAAAAAAAAACCGCGTAAAAAAAACCGCGTAAATTCCGGAATCCGCGTAAAAAAAACCGCGTAAATTCCGAAATCCGCGTAAAAAAAAACCGAGTGAAAAAAGACCGTGTAAGAAAAAACCGCGTAAAAAGCGATATACCGCGTAAATTCTGAAATCCGCGTAAAAAAAAAACCAAAATCCGCGTAAAAAAAAACCGCGTAAATTCCGGAATCCGCGTAAAAAAAAACCGCGTAAATTCCGAAATCCGCGTAAAAAGCCGTGCTGACTGTTGGAGATGATCGGTGCAGCAGCTCTGTACAAAACGGTGTGGATCACTTTCTCAAATACCTTACTTAGACTACAAAGTATGGATACACCTCGATAATTGGTGACACACTTGTAGCTTCCGGATTTATGGATCGGTACTATGGACGCCATTTTCCATGCATTTGGGAACGTTCTGTCTTGGAGCGAACGGTTGAAAACAGCAGCGATGGGCGTCGCCAGCGTAGCGGCGCAGTTAATGGAGCTACCTATGCTGCTATTGCAACGGGTAGAAATCAAAATACTAACCAACGTAATTCTAACGGAAATTTTGACAATTTTGACTTAGGAAGCATTACTGCTCCTAAAATGGAATTTTTACAGAATTCATTAATTGACATGATTTCTGATATGCTTAAATCTAACTCCATGTTTGATGCTATTCAAACTGGAGTAAAATTTGCCAATAATATTGTCATGACTTTAAAATTCAGTAATGGATTTTAAAGCATTAAACATTTTAAATTGGAATGCTCGATCTCTTAAAGATAATGAAGACGAGCTATTTAACTTTTTGAGAGTTCATAACGTGCATATTGCCGTTATAACTGAAACGTTCCTTAAACCTGACCATAAGGTTAAGAAGGACTCAAATTATTTAATTTATAGAAATGATCGTCTTGATGGACCCTGTGGTGGCGTTGCCATCATTGTTCATAGACGAATAAACATAAAATTCTTTCTTCATTTGAAACCAAAGTTTTTGAAACTTTGGGAGTTTCTGTTGAAACAAAATTTGGACAACTTACGTTTATAGCTGCCTATTTGCCATTCCAATGCGTAGGCCAGCAAAAGAATTTTCTCAAGGGTGACCTCCAGAAACTTACCCGTCATAGGTCTAAATTCTTCATTATTGGTGATTTTAATGCAAAACACCGCTCATGGAATAATGCTCAAAGCAATTCCAATGGTAATATTCTGTTTGATGATTGTTCTGCAGGTTATTACACTATTCAATATCCAAACAGCCCAACATGCTTTTCTTCTGCAAGAAATCCCTCAACTATTAATTTGGTCTTAACTGATTTATGTCAACTTTGAAGCCAATTGGTTACCCATGCTGATTTCGGTTCTGATCACCTTTCAGTAACTTTTGAAATATCCCAAGAAATAATTTGTAATCCCAACAGCTCTACTTTCAATTACCATAGAGCTGATTGGGAGCAGTATCGAACATTTATGTAATATAACTTCGATCCAAACATTCCTTTGCAAACCAAAGATGAAATTAATTATGCTCTTGAATCTCTAACTACTTCTATAGTTGAAGCAAGAGCTGCCTCAGTACCAAAATGCGAGGTTAAATTCGATTCAATTATAATAGACGACGATCTTCAGCTCTTGATCCGTCTTAAAAATGTCCGCAGGAGACAATATCAAAGAACACGCGATCCTGTCATGAAAGTTATCTGGCGGGATTTGCAAAAACAAATTAAAAAGCGATTCTCTGCCCTGAGGAACAAAACTTTTGAAAATAATGTTTCTAAATTAGACCCGAGTTCCAAACCCTTTTGGAAACTCACAAAAATTTTGAAAAAACCTCAAAAGCCTATTCCAGCGCTTAAAGAAGGTGGTAAAATTTTGATCACAAATTTGGAAAAAGCTCAGAAACTTGCTAAGCGATTCGAGAGTTCCCATAATTTCAGTTTGGGTCTTACTAGTCCTACTGAGAATCAGGTTGCTCGGGATTATCTGAATATTTTCACTCGGGAAAATATTTTTGAGGATTCCTGGGGGACTAATTTGGACGAAGCGAGGTCTATAATTAAAAAGTTTCATAATATGAAAGCTCCAGGTGATAATGGAATTTTCCATCTTCTTCTTCTTCTTCGCATTTTCAAGCTTATTGCTTATCGCATATTAGCTTATTGCGTGCTCTCAACTTAGTGTTCTAGATGCACTTCCACAGTTATTAATTGAGAGCTTTCGATGCCTGTACCATTTTTGCATTGGTATAATGGTGTGGCAAGTCCAATCATACTTCTATGCCCAGGGAAGTCGAGAAATTTTCCAACCCGAAAAATTCCTAGACCGAACCGGGAATCGAACCCAGCCACCTCCAGCATGGTCTTGCTTTGTAGCTGTGCATTTACCGACTGAGCTAAGGGAGGCCCTTTTGGAATTTTCAATATCCTCATCAAAAAACTCCCAGAGAGTACATTGTCTTTCTTGGTAAAATTATTTAACAGATGTTTCCATTTAGCATACTTTCCTGATAAATGGAAAAATGCAAAAGTTGTTCCAATTTTGAAGCCGGATTAACATCCAGCTGAAGCTTCTAGTTACCGTCCAATAAGTTTGCTTTCTTCAATAAGTAAACTTTTTGAAAAGATAATTTTAAATAGAATGATGCATCACATCCATACGAACTCAATTTTTGCAGATGAGCCGTTTGGATTTCGCCATGGGCATTCAACTACTCATCAACTCTTAAGAGTTACCAATTTAATTCGTTCAAACAAATCTGAAGGCCACTCAACTGGAGTTGCTTTTCTAGACATAGAAAAAGCATTCGACAGTGTTTGGCATGAAGGTTTGATTGCTAAATTGAAAAAAGTTTAATTTTCCATTTTATATTATGAAATTAGTTCATAATTATTTAACTGACAGAACTCTGCAGGTAAATTATCAAAATTCCAAATCTGATCGACTACCTGTTAAGAGCAGGAGTTCCTCAGGGTAGCATTCTTGGGCCTATATTGTATAACATTTTCACTTCGGACCTCCCTGATTTGCCTACCTAGTACCTAGTAATCACATATAGTGATGGAGTTCCACTTTCCTGGTCAAACCAAGTGAAATATCTTGGATTAGTACTTGACCAAAAATTAAAACTTTTAAAGATCACATTGTATCGTCTTATAAACAGGAAATCCATTACAAACTGACGAATAAACTTCTAATATTTAAACAAGTTTTTAGACCGGCCATGCTTTACGCTGTGCCAATATGGTCTAGTTGTTGCACTACCAGAAAAAAAGCACTTAAAAGGATTCAGAACAAAGTTCTGAAGATGATTTTGAAGTTGCCTCCCTGGTGCAACACCGCGAATTTGCAATGCTTTTCTTCATCAATGACATTATTTCACATCGCATAGAATCATCAGAAATACTTTCACAATTAAACTTCTACACACCCTGTCGGCATCTAAGAACACGAAAATTATTCTCAGAAAAATCACACAGAACAAATTACGCAAAAAATGGCCCCTTCATTCGAACGATGCGACAGTATAATCTACACTGTGAAGTCATTAACATCACTATGTCAAAAGAAGAAATTAAAACCCGACTAAAACATAATAGAAATAAAGCATAGTATGTAAGTAAAACATTGTAACCAGGCTTGTAATTGCTCATTACAGCTAAAATGCTATTTTTCGTAATTATGAAACTATGAGGTACTATAATGATAATTTTAATTTGTAAGAGGTAAGAAGAGGTGGAAAAGTTTGTGTATGACATATAAAATTTGTCAATTTTGCTATCAGAAGGTCACAACTAGCGATTTTATCATCGATGATTGCTCGCTCATCGCGTTGCTCATCGTTATTGTGGCCCTCTGAAAGCTAGATTGACAGGTTTTATGTGTCATACACACACTTTACCTTCTCTTCTTGCATCTTGTAAATAACAATCTAAAGTAGACTACATACAGTGGTTACAATCAAGCTTGCTAATGCTCATTACAGCTAAAATAATATAATGAGATAATATCTCATAACATCATAAATCCGAAAAATAGTACCTATTTTAGCTGTAATGAGCATTTTACTTGACGAAATAAATAAATAAATACAAAATGTACTCCATATAAGGGAAGTATGGGAGGATAACTGGAATTTTCAGGAAAATCCTGAAGAAAGTTCCTAAGGTTATTCCGATAAGACAATGAGATTCCAAGTCAATAATTGTGAGGTAAGCTCCAGGATTCCGCAGATACTCATGAGGAATAATTCAAGGCTATTTCAACGAAAATTATGGAGAAATTTATGCTATATCCTACTTACATCTGGTAACATCTTGAAAAATTTAATGAAATTTTTTTGTTGATTCGTATCTGCAAGAAACAGTTTTATGTAACAAAGTAAATAACACGAAAAATAAAATCGACAAATCTTACCTAGATTGAGACACTTCAGCGGTTTAAGATAAGCCATTTTTCGGTTTTTTTAGAGAGCGTCAGTAAATTCAAACTTTATTAAACTACTTCAAAATAAACTCACACGAGAAACAAACTACAAACCAAACGGAAACAATGTAAACAACATTCGATTTAAACTAAACTTCACACTAGTCAAGCTGAACATTGCATTAGGTCCTAAGTAACATTGATAGATTCTCTTCGTCAACTTTCTTAACGGCCATGTAAGGACATTCCTAGGTATATTCAGCACGCAAATCGATAAATAAAAAAAAAACTTTATCTAGCATCTAATACGACAAACACAAAAAGGAAGGGCTATGGGTTTGAGTTATTGACGAAAGAGTAAAAGTCGACGAAGTGAATCGATCAATGTTACTCAGGACCTAATGCAATGTTCAGCTTGCAGTCTGGAGTGTGTGAAGAAAATGCGCGCGCGTACACGGTCTAGCCAGCAAAAAAAAATACGCGCGCGTGTACACACTATTTCAAAACTCCCCAAATTTGGGTAGAATCCACCCAGATCGGTCAAAACAGAACCTACCCAAAAATGGGTAAACTGTGTTGGGAGTGACAAGTTGACAAATGAACAACGTCGATCGAATTTATGTCAAAGTTGTTCATCAAAATTTTGTCAACTTGTCACTCCCAACACAGCTTACCCATGTTTTACCGATCTGGGTGGATTCTACCCAAATTTGGGTAGTTTTGAAAAAGCGTGTTCATTTTCTATATGTCGGTAAGATAAAAGTCCCCAAAAGTAAGTTCTTTTCACTCATCTCGGCACTACAGCGCAGGAACCCAAAAGTAGGTAAAGCAAGTCAAAGTAGCTTTCGTTTACTTGTGTGCAATTCGTATGAAATTTTCCACTTGCATTCTACTAAAAAATTAATTCAGTGCCAACATTTCAAAGGGGCGTAATTGCTTTTGTAAACAATGACTTTAGCCGTCAATTTCTCGCGAATGAAATCTTACCTCTCCAAAATTACAATGCGAGCTGGTAGAGGAAACATTCCTCTACCTGCTGGTGTCATTATTTTTCATGAGTGAGCTTTTATTCGCGGGAAATCGACGGCTAAAGCCATTGTTTACAAATGCAATTACGCCCCTTTGAAATGTTGGCACTGAATTTAGTTGTACCCAAAAGTAGGTAAACATGATTATACGTAACGTTGGGTTCCCACACTTTACTACCCCTGTTGGGTGGTTTTGCCGACACCGACTCTAGTCAAAAGTAGGTAAAATGATCTGGACGTTTGGACTTTTTTGTTACCGTGTATAAAACGTCAATAAATCTAGCGTTCAGAATCATAACGGCCTAACTGCGATGATCGATTCTCTTCATCGATTTTTTCTTCGCATCACTACACTGAAGCAAAACTTCACGCAATCGTCATTAACGAAATCCTTTAAATTTCCGAGAGTAGAAGTTAAATTTATTAGTAATGGTTCACGTAGAATAAAGTATCATCGAAATAAAAATATTTGAGGTAAAAATCAACGTAAACTCAGTTTGTTCTGGCCACAAAAATAAAATAGGTTGATTCAATCGTACGTTATGTTCAAAGTAATGTGATATTAATGTTTAAAATAAAAATCATTATACGTTTATTTTAAAAATAATAGAGTTGAAAATAAACGTGAATATTTTTGTTTGATTTGACAGCTTTGTAAACAAAAATAAATATTTTTATTTAAAACATGATTTTAGAATGTATCTAAAAAATATATATTTATTTATTATTATAAATCATCAATGCAAGAGAAATTAAAACGTTCGTTTCCAATCAACCTGACACACTCAAGCTGGGAAGACAGTTGTAAACCAAATGCGATTCTTCCACAATGCAACGTTTTCGAAACATGGCATCAATGCTGGTACCCGGCGTTTGATGACTGTATCATGTCTCTACATAGAACATCTCATCCAGGAGCCAGTCCTATCTTTCGTACAGGAATATAACTGATAGGAATTCTTCCAATCAGAGTATCACCAGCTCCATTGTCTCTTCGTCCAGCTCTTGATCTAATCCGGTCAGTACCAAAAACTTCAGACCGTGCGAAATGCCTAGTGAAATTACCACCATCTTCTGCGCCTTTATTGTCGCCGCCAACCAATTCCGCTTGGCCAGGTCCCACTGGAGAATGATTCCATTCTTATTCGTCACGTCCAGAAACCGATCATCGTCAGTCAAACACAGACATGGTGACAAAAGCTGTCAAATACAATGGATTTTGATATTGTTGAAATAAACATGCATTTAAATTTAATTCAAACATAAATATTTTCGTTTTAAACATGTTTTCAATTTACTTATATGTTTTTTAATATGTTTAGGGTATAAACATTTATATTTTTGATATAAATGAACAAAATTCGTATCCGTGTTAAGTTAAATTTATGTAAAAATTAAGTTTAAGTTATGTTAGAATTAATCAAGTTGAGATAAATTGTTATGAAGGTTTAGTTAAAGGTATGTCAAAGCTAAGTTAAATTAATTAATTGAAGTTAAGTTAAGGATATGTTAAAGTTACGTTAGATATGTTCAAGTTATGTTAAAGTTGATTTAAAGTTAATTTAAATTCAGGTTAAAATTGAGATAGTTAAGTAAAACGTATAATAATATCCCGTTCACATTACAGCCTATATCACGTAATATAGGCTGTCTTGCAATGAGCAGTCATACATAGGATTTCCAGTGAAAACTAGATGTACGAGTGCTCATTGCAAGACAGCGTATATCACGTGATATACGCTGTAATGTGAACGGTGTATAAAGTTAAGTTAAAGCTGTTTAAAGGTAAAAGTTAATTTAAAGTTAAGTCAACATAAAGTTAATGTTATATTAGAGTAAAGCTAATGTCGTTTTCGTTTTTGCGGTGTGGCACTGGTGTAGTGTAAGCAGGAATAAGGACGAGTCTTTGACAGCTCAACATCATTTCTCGATGAACATTTCAAATGGTCCTATCTGCTTTGATCGATTCTCTTCATCGACTTTCTCTTTTGATAACCACGCCTACGCAAATGCATTTGGTGTTAATTTTGCCACACAGTTTGATAGCAGCAGTTCCTATCTTGTGCTTAGAACGTTGAACACAGCAGGGAATGCTTTTGAAGTTGAGTTATTAATGAAAGAGAAAGTCGATGAAGAGAATCATGCAATGCAGATAGGACCTTTTGAAATGTTTATCTAGATTTGTTTGTAAACAAAGGTGCATCCTATATCTACACCCTAAAATATTTCGGTGAACGGCAGTGTAGCACCGGTGTAGCTACACTGCAAAAACAAAAACGACATAAAGTATAGTTAAAATTATTTCTAGAGAACTTATAGCAAATTTCCACGGAACATCAGGGAAACTTTCAAAGAACTTCAGTTCTTTGAACTTGTTGGCAGTTTTTGATACTTCTTGGAACTTCAATTGGGAGTTCTTTTTAAGTTAAGATAAAGTCAAAGTTAAGTTAAATTTAAGCTAATGTTTAGTTAAAGTTAAGTTAAAGTAAAGTTAATCAGTTAAAGTTTAGTAAAAGTTAAGTTGAATTTAGGTTATATAAAATCAGATGAGTTATAATTATACCGAAGTTAAGTTAAAGTTTAGCTTAAGATAAAATTAAGTGAAAGTTTAGTTAAAGATATCAGGCATAACATTTGATAACGACACAAAACTTTTTATAAACAAACTTTCTAAGGCCCTTTTCACGCGAACCAAAGTACGCCCACGCAAACCAACAACATAATCGGATAGGGGCAACTATCACCTTTCCGAAAGTGGTATTGGTTTGCGTGGGCGTGCTTTGGTTCGCGTGTAAAGGGCCTTAAAAAGTTTGTTTACAAATGCTTTTGTGCCGTTATCAAATGTTATGCCTGATATGTTAACGTTATAATAAAGTTAAGGTAAAGTAAAACTTAATTTAAAGCATAACTAGATAAAGCTTGATTAAAGTTAAGTTAAAGTTAAGCTAAAGTATATTTAAAAATTAAGTAAGAGCTATGATAAAGTTGAGTTTTGGTCAAGTTAAATTTACGTTGATGTTTAGTTAGAGTTACGTTGAAGTTATGTGAAAGTTATGTCCAGGGAACTTCAGAGGAATTTCAGTTCTTGGAAGTTCCTCTACAGTTAAGTCAAGTCAAAGTTAAGTTAAAATTATGTTTGTTTAGAAAAAGTTAAGTAACTTGTGTGTTTAAGTTAAAATCCAGTTTAATTGAATAAATATTTAAAGCTTAGTAAAAATTATGCTAAAGTTTAGTTAAAGACAAAATCAAGTCAAGTTGAAATAAAGTCAGAGTTAAGTTAAACACACAAAAAAACTATCATCGTAACAAAAATATTTGAGGTAAATTTAAACGTAAACTCAGTTTGTTCTGGCCACAAACATAAATTAGGTTGATTTCAAACGTCTTCCATGTTTGAAGTCATGTGAAATCAATGTTTAAAATAAAAATAATTTTACGTTTATTTAAAAAAATATTCGTGTTGAAAATAAACGTATTTATTTTTGTTTGGTTTGACAGCTATGCGAACAATAATATATATGTTTATTTTAAACATGCTTCTCATGTTTAAAATAAACATACGTATTTTGGAATTATTTTAGTAGTTGAGTGCAGGGTAAAGCAAAATAAAACGGTTTGCAAAGAAATGAAAAAAAATCTTCGGGCAGGGCATCTTAATTCCTGCTCTTTTTCGGGTGCTATTAAGGGTGACCTGTGGGTATTGAGGTCCTGGTCCGGGATGCGGGGACCCGTCGGGGTGGGTGTCCGAGGGTTCCAGTTCAGTGGAACCGGTGCAAATTTGTGTTATTGGCGTCGTTCTGCCTCGATTTCTGCCACTGGTCCTCATACCGGTTCATTTCCATGTTCGGTATCGGAGGAGGATCCGGAATGGATTCGGAATGGATGGCCGTTTTCTGTTGAGGTTGAGCAAAGCTGGGGCAACTTTTTCCGAATGTAACAAGAAGCAAATAAAAAGGCATGAGACGCTAAAAACCGTTTACCCAAATCCTATATTGTTGAAATAAGCATGCTTTTGAATTTAATTCAAACATAAATATTTTAGTTTTAAACATGCTTTCAATTTACTTTGAATAATTCATATGTTTAGAATATAAACATTTATATTTTTGTTTTAAATGAACAAAATTCGTATCCTTAAGGTTAATTAATGTTTAGTTAAAGATAAGATAAAGTTTGATTATAGTTAAGTTAAAGATATTTAAGTTATAGCTATTTTAAAGTTATGTTAATGTTAAATAATACTTAACTTGAACTTAAAGTTAAGTTAAGTTAAAGATAATTTAAATTGATGTTAAAGTTATGTAAAACTTAAATTAAAGTTATGGTAACGTCAAGTTAAATTTAAGTTAACCATTACGTGTGTGACGGGGTACCCGGGTACCCAGCTCCCATTTGAATGAAAAATGCAAAAATCTGCCGCGCACATAAGGGTTAATGGTATGTTAAAGTTTAGTTAAAGGTATGTTAGAGTTATTTCCAGGAAACTTCAGCTCTTGGAACATTTTGAATGTTCTTGGAACTTCTTGATTCTTCTTGGAAGTAGCTTTGTAAGTAGCCTTTAGGGTAAAATTAGGTAAAATTTATTTTAATTTTAAGTTAAAGTTTAGTTTAAGTTAAGTTCTTAAAAGATGTCCGAAATTCTTGCCAGAACATTCAAAACATCTCGGTACTACCTAGAAGTGCCCTAGAAGTTGTCTAGAACTTCCCAAAAACTTCCAAGGGGCTGTTCATTAACTACGTAGACAGTTTTTTTTGGGATTCTTGCCCCCCTGCGTAGTTAAGTTCGTAAAAGATGTTCGAAATTCTTTCCAGAACATTCAAAACATCTCGGTACTACCTAGAAGTACCATAGAAGTTGCCTAGAACTTCGCAAGAACTTCCAATTAATTAACTACGTAGATAGTTTTTTTTTGGGATTCTTGCCCCTCTGCGTTTTTGGAACTTCTTTGGAGGTTTTTGGAACTTCTTGGGAAGTTTTTGGGAAATTTTTGGAACTTCTTGGAACTTATTGGGATGGTCTTGGACTTCTTGGAAAGTTCTTGAGAACTTGTTGTTGGCTGCTGATTAACTACGTAGACAGTTAGGGGGGGGGGGGGGGGTCAGGAAGGTTTTGGTTAGTATCCACGGCTAATACAATTATTTGTGTGAGTGAGTATGCAGAATAAGGGTATACCAAATACTACAACACATTCTTATCGCTTTTCGCATAATGTTATTAGCTTATTGCGTGCACTTAACTTAGTGTTTTAGATGCACTTCCACAGTTATTAATTGAGAGCTTTCGATGCCTGTACCATTTTTGCATTAGTATAATATGTATGGCAAGTAATATCATACTATATGCCCAGGGAAGTCGAGAAATTTTCCAACCCAAAACATTCCTAGAGCGGACCGGGAATCGACGAACCAAGCGACTTCCAACATGGTCATGCCATTGGCGTAGCTAGACAATTTATCTGGAGGGGGCCTAGATGATTCTGGAGGGAGCCTAGATAATTCTGGAGGGGTCCTAGATAATTATGGAGGGGTCCTAGATAATTCTGGAGGGGGCCTGGCCCCCTGGCACCCCCATTAGCTACACCAATGGGTCTTGCTTTGTAGTTGCGCCTTTATTGTCGACTGAGCTAAGGAATGACCCTAACGATGGGCCTCTCTTTTTGCTTGCACTCAGGTTTGCTCGATCCTTATCGGGAATATCCCATTACGGCTTTTCGTTATGTGCAGATGTTCATTTCTTAAAGCGAAAACCTCGTTATTTTCTTTTAGGATGCTCTTTTGAAACGGCGAGAGGCCACGTGGTGTATCATATCGACTGATTGTTACAATGCTATTTATTTTGGCCGGATTTGGCATCAGGACACTACTCGAAAGACACAATTTCCTGCAACATAGCAAACACAGTGCAAAACTTGTTCAGAGATGTAAACTACGACATTACATTAAGCCAGCGAACCCAATCGAAAAACAAAATCAATTAGATCAAAAGTCTGGTCCTTGATTTTAAATTAAACGAAACCGTGAAATTGTTTCATCCCTTTGAACAAACAAAATGACAATCATTCAGATAATATGCCCATCCCAACTAACAATTAAGCTTACGCAAACAAAATTTACCTTATGCAGCTAATTTTTAACTGCAGCTAACATTGTTGGTTGGGATGAATATAGGAAGATTCGTAAAACAAAGTGTTTTTATTGCCGGCCTATGTTTATACTTTCTGGGTCATCTTACATTGTTAAATTTTGAAGTTTTTCTGTGTTTGTTCTGATTGTATAGATTATGTTTACGTTTAATAGTTTTATTTGACTAAAGTTCTCCATTATTAATACCAAATGTACAGTGAACTAGTTACTCTTCTGCAAATTCTTAACATTTTCCATCATATCTAACGGCATTTGCTGTGAAATTAACGATAGTTTGAATTGCAACAGCACAACCAGGTAGATGGCGATTGTTGAGATGCTCTGTATAGGAAACAAATGTAGAGTTTAGAGCTTTCGTATATTTTTCAAACGGTCTTAAACTTACCGCCGTCAGCAACTCCCGGTTCACTTCAGCGTACCCCTTGAGACTGACGATAGCCGGATTCATTTCGATCGCCTGAATGAAAATATCAATTTCCTTTTGCGTCGGTTGATCGACCTTCAGCAGGTTGATCCCAAGCAGTGTATCCTGGACTCCTTGAGCCACCTGTAACGTAGCATTGTGAGAACAATCACAGAAAATGAACAGCAAAGTGGAGCAATAAACAGTATCAACAATCAAGCCAATCTCTTTGAAGGAAAATCCAAACCCATGATCGATCACTTCCGACAGCGCTCCGTAGATGGCAATCGTTATGTTGATGAACATGAACAGACAATACGTGGAGTAGGTTCTTGCATAGGCATTGCCCAGGGCTTGAAGCAGTTCACTGAGATTCAACCAGAGAAAGCGATACTGGGAGATCATAGCTGCAGTGCACTCGATGCCAACGTCTGTCCGAAAGCGATCGGATAGACTGGATGAAGCTACCTGTATCCCACGGCAGTTGATATACCAGAGGGCGCTGTTCATGTTCAGCATGGTGATGATGTGATAGTAAGCGCAAGTGTGCCACAAGGCGAACCCATCCAGGAGAAAACTGAGCGATAGAAGAAACACAATTGCACAGACCAAACAGCCAACGGATAATATCACGATTAGGATTTTGAGATGAGGAAATTGTAGATTAGTTGCGGTAACACGGTAGTACCGAACTTGAAATGCACCCCACATCGTTTTGTAGACTGCGACGTGCTTCGCGACTCCCCAACCGACGAATGGAATCCAGAAATGCGGAACCAAGAAAATAATAAACAGAACTCCGTAGATGTACTCGTCGAATTTCTTGGTGTCCTGTAGAATCTTGAGTCGCTCATATCCTACAAACAGCACCACACCGGTGCTCATGACGTAGAAGAAATACGCATAGATTGATGCCCACGATCTCCAGTCAAAGGTGATTCTTCCTGGGGATGATCTCAGAATCGGCATCACAGCCAGAGCGCGGAACAGAACCAGCAGTAGTTTATGATCCCGATAGAACTGGTCGTGGAGTTCACAGGTGTCTCCATCCGCGGAGTTCAACTGTGCTCGTATGGCTCGCTCCTTGGTACGCTGGATCAATTCCGGATTCATGGTTCCACACACCATCCGTTCGTCCTTGCTGGTGTCCCAAATGGTACCCATATCACCACGAAGCAAGGCAAAGTTGAGGGAATCCTCGAATTCGCTGTCTTTGATGACCATTTCGGTTCGCAGTCTGCCAGCACGGTTCAATTGAAAACTGTCGGAAAGGGAAATTTCTTCACAACTTTTATAGCCACTTGAACAAACATATCCCATAAGAACATTTATTTCCCCTAATAAAATATTAACAACTCTTTTGTTTGTTTTCACTGGGCAACTGAAAGTCAAGTTCAAGCCTAATCGATCACTGGCCCCAGTAGCCAAAGTCACGCAACCAACCGAGACCTTGAACTGTTCCGGCCTTGGGTTTGTACTCGCAACCAATCCAATCGGTGTAGCCATGGGTTTCCAGTGTATGCAGCACGTACGGATAGTTGAGTTCCCCCTCGGTGTTGGGCTCATTGCGATTGGGAACCTGTGCCAACTGGACGTGTCCGATGTAGTCCGCGTAGCACTTGATGGCGTTCGTCAGGTCACCGCGGATGTGTTGCGCGTGAAAGATGTCGAACATCAGCTTCAGGCTTGGGCTGTTGACTTCTTTCAGTGTTTTGATAGCTGCGATCAAAAGTGAACAGCGGAATAGTATTTAAAGCAGTGTGTGATTTAAGTTGTTTATGTTGAATACCTTTTTCATAACATGCAAGGTAATATCCAGGGACGGAGTACTTATTGATGGGTTCGATCACGCCCAGGATGTTATTCGTCTCCAGAATAGTGGCAGCAGCCTTTAGGTTACTCAAGTAGGTTTCATCGTGCTGGGCAGTAGCGGGGCCATTCAGTTTTCCGGCCATAATGTGGATTCTGTTGAAATTATTGGTAATTAGAAGAGATTTGAAGTGAAACTAAAGAATGCTTACTTTATATTAAAATTATCTCTATCCTTTCTCACTGATAAAAGTTTTTCCTAATAAAATGTGCCTGGTTATTTTGCTTAACAACGTGTTCGGGCATCATCAAATATATTATATTAACAATATGATCCACTCTTTCGCTTAGTTGGCGATCCGAATTTTTAGCGATGAAAGCACCTCTGTGGCCAAAAAGGCTACCAATGTATTTGTTTATCGTCACGAGGGGTAAACAAAATGACTTCTTCTTCTTCTTCGCATTTCAAGCTTATTGTATATCGCACATTAGCTTATTGCGTGCTCTCAACTTAGTGTTCTAGATGCACTTCCACAGTTATTAATTGAGAGCTTTCGATGCCTGTACCATTTTTGCATTGGTATAATTGTGTGGCAAGTCCATTCATACTTCTATGCCCAGGGTAGTCGAGAAATTTTCCAACCCGAAAAATTCCTAGACCGGACCGGGAATCGAACCCAGCCACCTCCAGCATGGTCTTGCTTTGTAGCTGCGCCTTTACCGACTGAGCTAAGGGAAGCCCCAAAATGAACATTTGTTTAATATTTCAAATGAATGTATTTCAGCTTTTTATTTTATTTGATGACAACAGTGACATGTCAGACAAATTTTAAAATAATATACATAATGTAATTAATGAAAATAATTTGACTATTACTTTTGTAATAAGCGCTATATTCGCACCCTTCGATTGAAATTGAATGATTGTTGCTGACCTTTTGCAACGCTAGATGGTGCGTGAAGTAATATTTTGCGGGTCGCCATTGCAACATTTGGAAAAGGCATGAATGGATCATATTGTTAATATGATATATTTGGTATCATCCAAACCATTTGTGGAATAGTTCTATCATTTGGGTTATCGTTCATTTATAGCATTTGTTAATTTGGACTGTCTCACTCAGTGCAGCCTGTCAACATTATAATCATCAGGGAGTGGCGAAATCTGCGCTGATCTTTTATTGAAATCTCACAACAACAACGTCAAGTGATCATTGTCACCAAGCTGAGTAATGAAACTCCACTTTATGGTACCTTTTCTAGTTCTTACCCAAAACAAAAAAAACTATCTTTATTTTTTTCAAAGCAAATTTCTTTTTATGCTTTGAATAATCATGGTTTTCCAAACGTACATATCTTGTCAGATATATTAAGTACAATAAAAAGGATAACTTTTTGCAATATTAATTAATTCAAGAAGACTGCTTTAGAAGAAATTAAACATGTTATCATTTTTAGTGTGAAAGCACACTTTTATAAATAAGCGTTTTCCTCCACACAGAGTTGAAAAAATCATGAAAAAATCACCAGCATTCACTATGAAACGAAATTTTCATCCATAGTGAACTTTGATGAATTTTAGTGATATTTTCAGCCCTGTCCACATATAAATGCGCAGAGCGCAATAAAAAAAATCGATGCATCGGCCGGGAATCGAACCCGGGCCGCCCGCGTGGCAGGCGAGCATTCTACCACTGAACCACCGATGCTTGTGTAAAACACGTTCTGCAAAGCAATACTGTTTCTTCACACGTTACTTGAACAGGTTCACCTATCAAACAGCTGATTAGCGAGTTGTGCAAGTTGTGTACTATCTTTGTTTAGTAAACACTACTGTTGTACTTATTATCACTATTTCAACACAACTGTCTTATCAATGCTGCTAATTTACTTACTTCTTGCAATGAAGTGCCTTGGCATACTCCACCGTACGCTCGAGGTTCTTTCTGAAGTTGGCTTCCTGGCCAGGAATGGCAGCACATCCAAATTGCCCATCCGGGACATCTCCTAATTCGAACGATTCAAATCAATCAAGTTTATTAGCCAATTGTCGTTAACGTTCATCTCATTCATACCTATTGCAATGTTCATCAGTATCTGCTCCAGACCGGTTTCCTCGCGCACTTTCACCAAATCTGCCACACTGACGTGATCCGGTGGAAAGACGCCCTCCACCGCACTGAAACCGGCCGCTTTGGCCAACCGATAGCGCTCCAGAAAATCACCGGTTTCGGTGAACATAAAGTTTAAATTGGCACAAAATTTAAGCGACATTTTGGACGGCCGGAGACGGGATGTTAGCATGAAGCAATCGAACAATAATTTTGACGAATGGCAATCAGGTTCAATGGGTTATCAAAGTCTTTAATTTATTTTCGGAGCTGTCAGCAATGCTGTTGAGCCGTGAAATGTGAGTTAAAGCCGCTGTTTTTTGTGTGGTTGATAAGCGTTGACGGATGGATGATGAGTTAATTGTTTTCGAACTAATGCGGTGACCGCGGTAAGGAGAAATTGCCTAGAGTTTGTGACTTCAGTGGACGACTGCAGTTTTGTTTGATTTTTCATTGAGTAACCGGAGGGTTAGTTGTGTTCCTAAATATACATACTGCGTTAATGGTATGTGTAGGAACACACCGATCAGTTTTATTACACCTTGCCACATCCATTCATAAATGAAGTTTTTCCCCTCCTCAGACTGATATCTAGTAGTAGTGGTGAGATATAGAATGAACGCATTCGAGTATTTTGCCTGCTCGTTGGTAGATTCTATTTTTAGATACCCGAATGAAGAGTTCATTTGATGTTCGTGTGATCAGAAGAGGGTGTCGGGTAGAAGCTGGGTGTATGGAGTTTAGAGCATAATGTTAACAAGACTGTCGGCAGCAAGACAACCCCCTAGTCACCGCAAACGTTGCAATTAACATAAAATTCAATGTATACAGTTATCCCATCATTTATGCGGTGGGTGGTATCTTCCACCCACCGCTATTTCTTGGCAGTCATTCAATCAATTGAGCTGATTTTTTTTGTAGATAACTAGTCTATGGTTGAAACTAATCATATAAAGCGTAATAGGTTGAAGGACAGCCGAGAAACAGCGGTGGTTGGATGACACCACCAACTGCATTAAATGGAGGTGTTACTGTACTTTTGCCGTCTTTTCCACATTACATGGAAGTCCACAATTCAATCGATTTATTCGCCGCTACCTTCGACTGGGAGCGTGGCATCTCCTGTAACGTGGCTACTCACGAGTCGGGTTACGGACTGATTTGAGGTTGGGAGCCACTGTGTGCCGGGCAAGTCCATGTTGACGGGACGTCCACACTAAGCTGACCGTCAATATGGGTGCAATGGGGGAGCCCGATGCATTCAGGTTGGCTAAAGAGAGATGAACCGAGCGAGGGGTGAAAACCAGCAGCTAAAAGTCTCCGCGGTAAGCAGTAGTGGGATAGCGTCCCGGAGTGGACTTCCGGTGCCAGCCTGACCAATAAAGTCACACCGTAATCTTTTTGCATAATTTTGATAATATTTTATACATTGATATGAAAGATTACAAAATTATATAGAACATTAAATTTAAATTAAAACAGTTATATTTTAGGCACAGACATAACACTCCCATACTTCCCTGCGCTTCGGTCAGAGAGCTATAGGGCGTCGTTGTGCCAATTTGGTGGTGGCACATTTCGAGTATGAGAGAGTAATTGCAGTTAGATCAAAAGTGCCTGAGAAAAATGCAAATACTTTCGCAGATTACCCGAAGCTCCGATAGTGAAGGTATGATCACAGACAAGCAGACATAACACTCTTAAAACCTTCATCGAAATCGTTTTTAACGGTCAATTTAAATGTTTCTTAGTTGGTAGTACCGCCACCTGTGGTGCACATAATCAATTACCTAGCGTTTGACGTTTACCCACTACAGCCATCTGTTGAGTGTATTGCCCATCAAAGTATATACGACAGATGGCGGTAGGGTTTACAACGATAAATGTTCAATGTGTTGTGTTTGCTTGTCTGTGATATAACATGGAGGTAACGTTAGGATAAAATCAAAACATTGAGAAATATAACGTCTCACTTTCAGAAATATTTCACTTCGCAACCGATGAACCATTCTGACGGCCATATGAGTACCCAAGTAACCATGTAGTCGCAATATAGCTTGTATATTCTTACTTTGCTTGACTATGGTTAGTTGGGGAATCTGATGAAACTGTCACTTCTTGAAACAGGTCCCTTTCGTATTTCTTCCATTCTCTTTTCGCACACGGAGCGCTCGGTGGAACAGCGACTTTGGACGTGAGCCTCGTCCCAGATCACCATAGCAATTCAATGAAACCGACCAAAAAAGGTGGAGTCATATTAGAACCAACCAAGGACGATCTACAGAAGGAAATTGCCGGTGAAGCACGGAATGAAATACGAAGCGTTAGAGAAAAAGTCCAAGCGATTCCAAAAGAAGTAATCAACGACGGCGGAAGAGCAGAATATGGTGAGAGCTTTCCAATTATTAAAAAATATATATATCAAAATTAAACTAAATACATGCCAGGTTTAAAAAAATATCTTTTCGAACCTGGAAGCGTGTATGTAATACCAATATTCATTTGATAACGGTGATGCATACATGCGGGGCTTACTGTAAGTGAAAGTAACCTCGGAATGGGCGTGACTCTCCAGACATTCTGAAATAGGTTGCTGGATCTGCAATAGAGCTATCACCTTCTAACTCCCGGACTAAAGCTGTCTACAATAACCATAAATGCGACATTGTAGAGAGAGTTCTTCTATAATAACACTGCCGGCCAGTGGAGGTTAGATTGAATACACACACATACACACACATAACACTCCCATACTTTTCATCGAACAAGCAATTAACGGTCAATTTAAAGTTTCCTTGGTTGGTAGCATCGCAAGTACACTCAGAAAAAAAATTAAACTAATTAGTATAAAAATCACACTAAAACGCTATTCGCCTGGTTGACCCCAGGCTTCGTTTAGTTGCCAACAAAACGAGCCTAGTATAAACTTGAAGTATAAGGGGTATAGTTTATCTTTTGAATATTCATGCGTAGTTTACCGGTGGATTATCTATACAATGTATTTGATCACTGTCCTTTTAATGTTGGTATTTTTATTGATTGAAAAGCAATAAATTCAAATAATGTATAATTTATTTTCTTAGAAAAGTGAAAACCTTGGTGAAGCAATCAAATCTTTTGCAATCGTGCTCCGGATCAGACTCTCTGGTCGACCGTTTTCTTGGTTCGGATTTGGACCCGAGAAGCTTTAGTTTGAACTGCTTGGCAAAGGATTTCTGGGCAGGCGTTTTGGTACGTACGATCTCCTGTTCCGCCGAGGCATCCGTTAGCATATCCGTGTCGGAACGGATGACCTCCTTGATGGACTGCAATTCTACCATCGATTTTCGACGCTGCTTTTTGTTCAACTTCACACGATAGTTGAAATCGAACACGGTCGATAATCCGGCGGAGGATACTTCATTCTTCGGAGAAGTCAACGATTTGATCTTTTTCGAGCTGAGCTTCTCGAGCCTTACGACCGGTATGGCTCGAAGCAACTTTTCGACGGAAGCCCCTCGTGGCAGTCAAATCTTCTTGACCAGTTACCAGCTCCCACGAGGCATCCCTAGAACAAATGAAAAATATTCAGTATTCCAATACCGATTCACCCACCTCCGCCTCACTTACTTTTCCGGTATATAAATCATACGCTGCTGCATCTCCTGGCTAAAGTCGTCCTTGTTGCTGCACAAAGGGCACTTGAGAAAGTACCCCGCCGAATGGGGAAGCTGTGCCACGCAGCTCCGATGGAACCAGCCATTCGGACAGCACGGGACAAGAAACGATTCCAGCTTTCTGGTCTCAGAGTATTTCACCTTATCCACCAGCGCTACGAGCTTATCGCACCACGACTGGAACGTATCCATGGATCGCACGTATGCAACAGGCACCTTTTCCGCATCCCACAGAGCGTATGAAATGTACAGAAGCACTGCTCTACGCAGCAAGTAACGGTAGCATACCGCTCCTTGCAGATGTAGCACTTTTGTCCTCGGATACGAGCTTCCTCATTCCTGATGTCCTCCTCCATGAATCCGAAGATTCCCTCCTCGTCTTCCCCATGATGGACCAAATTCGACGTCAGCAGCTGAAATAAATTTCCCATTAGCTAATCATTCACAACCTAACAAATGTAAGCAAACCTACCAGACAGCGGTAGAGCACCCGAATGCGCCACTTTTTGTGAAACACCATGAAACTCAATCAACGGATTCCACGTAATGGTCAGATTTTCCACCAGTTCCAGTCTAATCGACACAATTTCCATAATATGCACTAATGACCGCCAGCTTGGACCACGGTAAAAACAAAAAACAAAACGCGCCACCTACCCACCTACCGCTTGCAGCACGACTAATCTAGGTGTATGGTAAGAAATAATCACCCTAGACATGAATACTTTGGGAAGGCTTTTTGACTGCTATTCATACTTGGTATAAAGTTTAAGTTATGATAGTGTAAAAATTTAATCTGTGGAGCGTATACAACCGGTGAATTTGAAAAATGTTTATTTTTTAATCTATTAACGAATTGTATTATTTTTGAGTGTACATTTGTTGTTTCTCAACATGCAGTTTATTAAAAAACTGGTAAATAAATATTAATAACCCCCTAGCCCAAAAGGTTAATATAGGATTTTGTATAAACGATATACAACATTTGTAATTTGCGTTTAACAACAAATATTATTACCATTGGAGTAGCTAATGAGGGTTTCAAGAAAGCCAGGCCCCTCCAGAATTATATAGCTCCCACCGCAGAATTAGTGGTATTATTTTTTACTGACCGGTATTTTGTCAAGCTTGTCATGTTCGATGTTACGATGTAGACCACAAACAAAAAATTTATAAAAGTACTTTATGTTGACTACTTTTATTATGTTCTGGACTAGAAGAAATAATTTTTAGAAATTATATTATATCGATATTTAATCGATGGCATAATAAGACGTCTGGTCTACGCTCTACAAATTGAACATGAACCTATGGATTTTTCATGAACTTCTGGGAACTTCATAAAACTTCAAGGACTTCTAAGAAGTTCAGGGAACATCCTAGAAATTGAGGAAACTTAGTAGAAATTCTGGGAACTTCATAGATCTTCAGAAAAAAATCGTAGAAACAAGGAACTTGGAAAAGTTTTGAAAACTTTTACGCAGTTTGAGTTACGCAGTTATGAAAGTTTGACAGATAACATCAGGGGTGTGTGGATTCATGCAGAACATGCAGGGGTGAGTGAAATAGCTTGGGACTGCTTGGGACCGTTGTTCTGGTACTGAGTGAGCCAAAAATAATAATGATTTTCATCGGGACCCAGTGGTCTTAGAGTTACCTCTATGGTAGTATCACAAACGAAATGACAGACGACTAACTGGCGAAGAAATCCATTAAAATAATGTGGTTCACTGTAATAGAATTTTCTTGGAAGCTTGTGC